TCTCTGTTGGTTTCTTTTCCTTTCAGTGTTGGTGGTCATATTTTCCTTGCATCTTTGTATTGTTGGTTAGGTTCCGCTTATAGGTGAGATTATATGGTATTTGCCTATATTTCATTTAGCTCTCTCGGTGGGGTGTCCCCTTTTCCACTCATTTGGGGGGGGGGACTTCTTTTTCTTCCCATTTTTGTGAGAGTCTGTGAAGTATTTTTGTCCTTTACTTTTCTTTATGGGCCTGCCTCTGATGATGTCAGTTGTTGACCCTATATGACCCTGGGTTGTTTGAGCCTTCCAGGAGTCTACTGCCTCTGTCTTACTCCTGCTTGGGGAAGCTCTGTGACCACTTTGGTCAGGGCTGCGCTATTTTGGGGGATATCTCTGCACTCTCACTTAGGTTCCTTGAGCGCACTCCCAGTGCGGCTGGATCCCCTGCCTGCCTGGGCTCACATGTGCTTGCCCCAGGCCAGAGGGTTTATTCGTGACCTCACATACTCATCTGGTCCCCCTGGTCGCCGAGCTCCCTGGCACTGGTCAGTTTAGGGTATTCTATTGTGTGTTTTCCCCGCTTTTGTCTCTTTGGGTCCGTTGTTTGCCCTCGCCAAATGAGGATTATGGAAATGGGAGAAAGTCAGCTCCAGGACTCTTTGGTTAATCCTGTCTCTGGGGTCTCCTCCAGGGACTCTGGGCAGCTCTGTGACCCCTTCGGCCGGGTATCTACTAATTTTGTGGGCTACTGCGCAATCACGGGTGGGCGGGTCAATTTACGCCTGCCCTTGCCGCTCTGTGCACTCCCTCGCAGGCCTTATTGGTGTTTATCTGTGGGAGGCCTTGCTGGCTGCTGCAAGCATTCACCAGCCCGAGCGGTTCACATAAGCTCGCCAACCCTCACCAGTAACTCGGCACAAGCGTGCGTGCCTGCACTGGGTGTTTTGGGGATGTCTATATGTGCTTTTCAGCTTTTGGCTTTTGGGGGGTGTGGCCTCTTCCCGCACAATAGAGACTAAGGCAAGGAGAAGGAGTTGGGACTCCCCAGTTCCTCCTCCAATTCTTTCCCGAACGCCTCCGTCTCCAGGCTCTCCTCAAGGCTGTCCCAGCCAGTCTGCACTCAGTCCCCCGACTCACATGCACAAGCTGTGTTTGGAGTACACAAAACGCAGGTTAATTGATTCCCTTATGCCTGAGCGAGATGGGAGCTGCAGAGTGGGAAGTGCGTTATCACCAGGGCTACACCGGCTGCCCTGTCAATTTTCTTCACAAAGTTTTCCTCACCAGTCTTTTTCCAGGCACCATCCCACCCTACTGCCACCTCTACCCAGAGATCAAGGAGGGTGGCTGCCACTGCAATTTTTGCATTGGTCCTTTAAATGTCTATTTGCATCCCCAGCCACCTGTCTCTGGCAGAGAGCACCCCTAAGCTTTTTTGGGGTTGCATTTGTCTGTATATTCTTGGTTTTAGCTGCTGTAGTTTAGGGGTCCCTGTTTATGATTCAGACCCCGTTCTTCTCGGGGGGAGCTAACTGGCCATTTCAATGTCCCTCTGGTGCTAGTGCCCGTGGGCACCCAGCCTACCCTCTCGAGCCTCCACTGCACTTCTCACCCGTTAGGATGTGTAAGAGTTGAATCCACTGTCTGCAGCTCCAAGGCTCCTCTCCCACTATTGTTCCATTGTTAGGTCATTACTCCACTATTTAGTTTCAATTTTAGTTTGGTCTTTGGAGGAGGCCAGCGTGACTCCCTTTCTCTCCTCCGCCATCATCTCCACTTCGAATTTTTGATATTCTTGATCAAATTTTGGAATTTTTGTAGAAATTTTTCCCCCAAAATTAAAATATATTAACCCACTTCTAGATGTTTTGCAAATACTTTCCTATTCTGTTTCCTGTCCTTTAAATTTTATATGTATATTATGATCTAGTCTTAAATGTTTAATATAGTCATATAAACAATATTTTACTTTATAGCGTCTGGGTTTGAATATGTGACCTCAGGGTAATAAAACGATTATTTCATATTTTCTTCAAAACTCACTGGGTTTTACATATTGATTTTTAACTCACCAGAATATATTTTTGCGTAGTATGTGAAATAGGGTTCTACATTTGTTTTATTTCAAGTAATATTGGTTCATTAACTTTATTTTTGGAATAAGCCTTATTCTCTGAATTGACTTGAAATATTAATTTAATCATACATTATGTTGTTTAACAGATATAAACATTTTTTTCCTAGAATGCTCTTTTAATTTCATTGATCTACTTGATTATTTCTCTGTCAGTGTCACGTTGTTTTAATTGCTGAGACTTTATATTGGAGTTATTTTTAAAAAATATTTTATAATGTATTTTGACATTTAAAATATAAATAAATAAAATCAATCTACACTTATAAAATAAAGAAAGACAGAAAGAACTCCTACCTTTTGCAACATCATGGGTGGAACTAGAGAATATTATGCTAAGTGAAATAAGCCAGTTGGTGAAAGACAAATATCATATGATGTCACCTATTATCGGAATCTATTTGACAAAATAAACTAATGAACAAAATAAATCACAGGCAAGGAGACACGGAGCAGACTGAAAGTGACCAGAGGGAATAGAGAAGGAAGACAGTGTTGGAAATAAGGAGAAGAAACTAAACAAAGAACATGTATGAATGACCCATGGGCATGGGCAAATGAATGGAAATTGCCTGTGGAAGAGGAGGGCTGGGTGAGATGGGCTGATGAAAGCAAAGGAGAAAAATCGAGGCAAGTGTAATAGAATAGATATGATTTAAAAATATAAAAAATAGTTATGCATGCCAACCTAAAAAGATAGAAATATTTTAAATAAATGACATAACCCAACATCTACAAGAATTGGAGGAATAAAAACAGTAAAGTCTATAGTGAATAGAAGGAAGGAAATAATCAAGATCAGAGCAGTAATAAATGATATAGAAGCTAAAAGAAAAATTCAAAAGATCAATAAATCCAGGTACTGTTTCTTTGAAAAGGTAAAAGCCAAGAAGCCTTTAACCAAGCTCATGAAGAATAAGAGAGAGAGGACCCAAATAAATAAAATCCATTATTAAATCCAAAATAAAAGAAAAGTTGCAACTGATAGTGCAGGAATACAAAGAATTGTACAAATAACTATGCCAAGAAGTGTGACATCCTGGGCAACATATACATATTTTTGGAAACATATAATCTTCCAGAACTGAATCAAGAAGACACAGAAATCAAGAAGAGACCAATAATAACTAATGAAATTGAAGCAGCGATAAAAAAAACTCCCAGCACACAAAAGCCCTGGACTGAGCACCTTCAGAGGTGAGTTTTATCAAACATTTACGGAAGAGCTAACTATTTTTGGTTTCAACCTATTCCAAAAAATTCAAAAAAAGAAAAAAAAAAGGAGACTACGAAAGTCTTTTTACGAAGCCAGTATTGCCCTCATTACAGAAGGAGGTTAAGAGACAACACAGAGAGAAAACTATAGGCCAGTATCACTGATGAAATTAGATGCTCAAAAACCTTAACAAAATATTGGTAACTGGATCCAGCAAAACATTGAAAATATCATACAGCATGACCAAGTGCCATTCATCCCAGGGATGCACGGATGCTATAAAAGCTGCAAATCAATAAATGTAATACACCACATGAAAATGAAAGGCATTGCTAATATGATCATATGAATGGGTACTGAAATAAATTTGATAAAGTACACAACCTACTTATGATAAAACCTTCAGCAGTAGTCGAAAGAGAGGGAGCATACGTCAGTATTATAAAGGTCATATCATATACAAGAAAACTAGAATTACTCTCATTGACTGTGCTTCTCTTGTTTTATTGAGTAAGGTCATAGCTCTGATAGAATAGGGTATTTTGAGTCACCTCATGCCTAAACCTTATTTGAGATGTTTTTTGTGCAAAGCAGAGGACCCAGGCCCCAAGAGGGTGAAATCAAGCCCCTCCCCCATTCCATCTGGTACTGGGACAGCATCCTTGAGATCAAGGGTTGTGTGTGCCCCCTGCTGCCCAGCCCATGCCCTGCAGGGCAGGGTCCTTTCTGTGCTCACAGAGCATAAACCTCTCTTCATCTCTAGTCTAGAATTTAAGGTTTCATTTTGAGTTTGAGATGCTCCCTCTGGAACACTGTGCTTTAAACATCTCAGGATACAGATATTAGACCATTCTAATGCTCAGTGATTCAGTGAGGGGCCCTAAAAATGGCACTGTGAAGCCTCCAGAGAGCCCCTTCCCAGGACCTGCCAGGTGCACTGACTCAGGTGACACCCCTGAGCTCAGAATATCTCGAGAGTGTGGGAGATGTGATGTTTTCAGTTTTTTCTGCTTGCAGGCCCCCTGTGAATATCCCTGCATGTGACCCTAATGGCAGTGCACTTCTACTGTTCAAAAAATCACACACTAACACACACTCACAAACTATTTAATGGCAATGACTCCAGGACAGCCTTCTACTCAGTTCCTAGTACATGGGTATGATTTCCACTAAGATGAAAGCTGAATGACCAATTTTGCGGACAGAACATGAGTAAATGCAATTGATGTAAAGACAAGAGAGTGCCCAAATTCGTGCTTTCCTGTTCTCCCAGAACCTGGTAGTTTAGAAAGTCCATGGTGAAAAGGCCTTGGTTTGTTCTGGGAGGGGACTCCATACCAGGACTCTCTCACACAAAAAGTTACCTCATTCTTCCCTGACTGGTAGGGGTGTCTCACTGCCCTAGGAATGCAATTCTGCATCATCAGAGCTCACAGCCCAGAGTCCTGAGAGTCAACCCTTGGGTGTAATTGAACAGGTGTCTCCCAAGGAGCACTCGCAGAGGATAATGTAGGAAGCAGGGATTAGAAAAATGGTGCTGGGCTGTCAGATAATGTTACCCAGTGTCAGTGCTGTTTTCCTCTGTACTGCCTGATGTCTTGAGAGCTCCCTGGTGTCCTGAGCACTCCCTACAGCACATTCTTCCTGTTCCCCACAGGGAGGTTTGTGTCAGAGCTCACCCTGACTTCCCCTCACTGTGTCTCTTGCACAGTAATATACAGCTGTGTCCTCCGTGGTCATGGAGCTCAGCTGCAGGGAGAACTGGTTTTTGGACGTGTCTCTCGAGATGGAGGTGCGGCTCTTAAAGGTCGGGCTATAGGCTGTGCTTCCATCATAACATATTACCCCAATCCACTCCAGCCGCTTCCCTAGTGGCTGGCGGATCCAGTCCCAGCAATAACCACTGGTTGTGATGGAGTAACCAGAGACAGCACAGGTGAGGGAGAGGGTCTGCGAGGGCTTCACCAACCCAGGGCCTGACTCCTGCAGCTTCACATCTGACAGAACACCTGGGGACAAGGAGCATGAGTTTCTGTTAGTCATGTGCAGGCACCACCAACCTTTAGACTCATGTCTGATATCTGATGCACTCACCCTGGGGGGCTATCATCAGGCACAGGAGGATACCCAGCAGTCTCATCTTATTCGGGAGCAGAATGCTGCCTTTCTTGAGATGTCAGCCCCTTGTGAGGAGAGAGCTGTTGGCCCCCACAGTCCAGGGGAGGATTTAACCTAGAACTGGGAAATAAATTTGCATGTGATACTGACTGCTCTCATAAAATAGGAGGGGATTACATCACTTCCCAATGTGCTTCTGGGTCTGGAGCACCTTTCTACTTAGACTTGATGGAGAGGGCCAGTGAAGGGAGAGTGACTGGATTATGAGATGATTTTGAATTATATCAATGGACAACACTTCTTTACACTATTACAAGTAAAGTAGGATGACATGAGGGATCACACACTTTTAATCTCATGAAATATTCAAATGGATATTAAAACTGATGAAGAATTTGCCCCCAAATATTCTCATGTCCAAAAAAAAAAAAAACCAACAAAACAACACATGAAGTTGATTCTTTGTTGATATATAGGATAATCATTATTTTGTATAAAATTATATTTGATATAAATTGAGATGTAAAATAATAACTACATGAAGAACCTACTTTCCCTTCACCTGAAGAAAGCCACTGTTTCTGCTGTTGGCAGTACAAGTGCATCCTCTTTTACAGTCCAACACCAGGGAATGGGCCGTTCTGGTCAGCACCTGTCTCTGAGGGTCTTGTGCAGGCTCTGACCTGAAAGAGGTTTTAGACATGATATATTTTTTTCCTTTAGGCTCACTTCCTCCATAGCAGAGCAGACCCTTCCTGCAGGTGAGCTACACAGGACACCTCACAGGTTCCTAGCCCACATTAAGCATGGGGAACATGGATTTTTCTTATATCAGAGGAATAAAAGGCTCTCGCTCTGGGACGACAGATGTCTGAGATGTATGTGGATGAGAGGACCTGCTGCCCTGTTATACAGTCAGATTGGGATCAACCATCCACTTATAATCTGAGCCTCGGGGCAGGCGGTGAGTTCTGGGAGCTGACAACCTGGATATTAGACTAGGAGATGAGCATGAGCCAAGGTTATTGTGGAGGAAAACCTAAGTGCTCAGTTATTGTACCTTTAAAGCCTCGATATTTTTCTCATTTCCATACCAGGTGAGAGCAGGGAGTAATGATGAATATCTGCTTGGGGGATATTAGAAAGTGAAAGGTCCTCTCTGAATTTGTTCTCAGGAGGACAAATTGCCTCCTGAGAAGGGAGGACTCAATCTTTTGAGCACACTCCTGTGTATGCTGAGTGTCATGAACAGTTATGTGTGCTCCCCTGTCATTCTGGTAATACAGTGAGGTAGGCACTGTTGGACCTAATGGCATGCCACTCACATATACTCTTCCTGATGATACACCCAGGTCCTTGTTATGCCCTGCACCCTCTCAGAATGCTTCTCACACACACACACATCCACTTCACACACTTCTCTTAGCCCATGAGCCCCTATGGCCCAGATTCCTGATCAAGTCTCCCCATCATCCCATATTTCATATTCCTAGAAACACTCATGGAATTGTCATCCACTTCTGGCTTTTTGCCGCCCCCAACAGAAAAGCTCCCCAGAGTGACCTTGAATACCAGCCTGACTCTGCAATCCTGACTCTTTTCCAACCCTGCAGGGTCAAGAGGCACCTCTCCCATTAGTTATTGCGTGATCCTTGTGGAAAAACAAATGTTATCTAATTCTCACCAGGTTAATTAATCAATTGTAAATGGACACAGCAATGTTTAGTATATTGTCACTGTTGTGGAAAGGTCTCCACCACCCAAATCCAGAAACTCTCACTTCCCCAAACTGACTCAGTGCACAATAATTAACAACACCTCATTCATGTCCCCCACCTCAGGCACCACTACAAGGCTTAGTCTCCATGCCCTTGACCCTCCACTCTTTTAGGCTTGCATGCACACAGCTGTTGTGATTCTGAGGGTGGTTTGTATATCTGGTATTTTGACTACAAATTTATCAATGTCTTGATCCTGTCTACTTTTTTTATCTTTAAAGGAAGGCTGTTATTTTATTATTTATTATTATTAATATATAAATCATGTTAATTCTATTACAGTTGTCTCAATTTTTCCCCTTTTACTGCCATGAACCCAACCCCCCGACCCCCGGTTCCCACAGTCAATTACCATTCTCTTGTCGATGTCTGTCAGTCATTGATACATGTTCCTTGTCTAGTCCCTCCCCCTTCTTTCCACCATTGCCCTCTTTCTCCCTCCCCTCTGGTCACTTTCAGTCTGCTCCATGTTTCCGTACCTGTGGTTTATTTTGTTTGTTAGTTACTTTTGTTGAATAGAACCCACTGATAGGTGAGATCATATGGTAATTGCCTTTCATCAACTGGATTACTTCACTTAGCTTAGTATTCTCCACTTCTGTCCATGCTGTCACAAAAAGTAGCAGCTCTATCTCTCTTTCTTTCTTAAATGTAGACTGATTTTATTGATTTTTTAAATGTCAAAGTTAATTATAAAATTCTTTAAAAAATTTAAAACCATAATAAATTTTCAGCAATTAAAGAAACATGACACCAGCACAGAAATAATCAAGTACATTAATGAAATATAATGAACATTCTAGAGACAAACATATATATCTAATTAATAGATATATGATTCAGTTGATATTTCAAATAAATGGGAAAAATAAGGCTTACTAAACAAATAAGAAGTATGGACCATTATTACTTGAAATAAAACAAATATAGAGCTCTATTTCACATATTATATAAGAAATATTCAGGTGAGTTAAAAATCACTATGTATAATCTAAGGAGTCTTAGAAGAAAATAAAATATTTTTCATGACCTGAAGCAAAATATTCAAACCAAGAAGCTATAAAGTAAATATTAACAACATGACTATATTAAATATTTAACTATACATTAATATACATATAAAAAGAGTTAAAGGACAAGGAATAGAATAGAAAAGTCTTTGCAACACATCTAAAACATGGTTATTAAGTTTTTCATTTTTTTATGGAAAAAAAGATTCACAAACCTTTAATCAATAAATGGGTAAAGAATACTACAAAGTAATTTAAAGACTTTTTAAAAAATAACATAAATAGACAATAAATATACTAAAACAGGTTTAGTTTCAACATATAGTAAAGAAACAATTAAAATAACATCATTATCACAATCAGGTTGATGAGTATTAAAAATATCGATACTATCAAGTATTGGCAACTCCAAAAGGAACTGGGTATTCATAGAAACATTTTCTTCATCTTAAAGCAGTCCCTTTAATGTATTTTGCAGTGCTGGTTTGGTGGAGGTATATTCCTTTAGCCTTCTTTTGTCTGGGAAATTCCTTATTTTGCCTTCCATTTTAATTGAGAGCCTTGCTGGGTAGAGCAGTCTTGGTTGCAGCCGTCTGCTTTTCATCATTTGGAATATTTCTCGCCATACCCTTCTGGCTTGCAGTGTTTCTGTTGAGAAGCCAGCTGCTAGCTATAGAGGGGCACCCTTATATGTTACTACCTCTTTCTCTCTTGCTTGATTTAGGATTCTCTGTTATCTTTCATATTTTCCATTTTTAATGATGATGTGTCTGAGAGTGAGCCTCATTGGGTTCCTCTTGAATGGGACCCTCTGTGCTTCCTGGACTTGTGTGACATTTCCTATCCTCCAACTGGGAATGTTTTCCATCATGACTTTTTCAAACAGGTTCTTTATCCCTTCCTCATCCTCTTCTCCTTCTGGTATCCTTATAATACAGATATTATTACACTTAAGGTTGTGCTGCATTTCTCTGGATGCTTCTTCATTGCTTTTTTTTTTTTTTTTTTTTTTTTGAGTTTCTCTCTCTCTTTTTTTTTATTTTTTTTATTTTCTTGCTCTTTCTGGAAGCTTTTTTCTACCTTGTCTTCTAGATCACTGACTCGTTCCTCAGCTTCCTCTAGCTTGCTTTGGATTCCTTCTACTGTGTTCTTCAATTCAGAAATGGTATTCTTCATTCCCTCTTGTCTCATTGATAGTATCTATGTCCTTTTTCATGCTGATATAATTCACAGTAAGTTCCTCACAGTTTCCTGTAATTTTTGGTAATTCCCTCTGAGCTCACTGAGGTCATTAAGCTTCCTTAGAATCATTCTATGCAACTCAATATCTGATAGTTTACTTGCCTCTATTTCATTTAGTTAACTTTCTGGGAATGGCTCCTTTCTCTTCGAGTGGAGTGTATTTCTATGTATTTCCATTATTTGTGAGACGCTTCTCTTTTGCTTGTGATTCTTAAGTTGATCTGTCTTGATTTCCTGACTTTGTTCTGTGAACTTTTATGGTTGGAAACCACTATTTTTACTTTCTGGATCTACCTCTGATGATGTCAGATGTTGATCCTGTCTGACCTTAGGCAGTCTGTTCCAGACATCCAGGAATCTGCTGCCTGTGGCTGTCTCCTTCAGCTGTTAATCTATTCACTCTGCACTCAGCAGGGTGCCTTAGACAGATCAGGGTGAGTCGGAGTCACTCCTGGGGGTGAGATTATTGGGTCCTTTCATGCTGTTGCCACATGGGGGAGGAGTTCGCACTGGGATCTTGCCAGCTACTGTCTTCGTTCTTTCTCCAAAGCCTTCATCCACAGTCTCTCCTCAAGTGTCTCCAGACCTCTCTGTGCCCCCTTTAGCTAGGGATCTACTGTCAGTGGCTGTCACTCTGCACTCAGCACAGGGCAGGGTGGAATCACACCTGAAGGTGGGGATATTTGGTCCTTTGACCCTGGTGTTGCTCAGGGGTTATGGTCTCTTCCTGAGCAAAATGGCTGCTGTGCATAGAGGATGAGTCAGCACCAAAATTCTTCCGGCTACTCTCTCAGTTCTCTCCCCAAAGCCTCCTTCCCCAGTCTCTCCTCATGTGTCTCTAAACCACTCTGCTCCTACCTTTTCAAGGCAGCATGACAAGTGGCTGCAAATAAAAATTTTTCATGGGCCCTATAGAAGACTCTTTCTTTCTTTGACCTTCTGTCTCTGGCAGAGAGCATCCCTACCACTCTTCACAGCTGGCTGTTTTCTGTGTACTTGTTTAGCTCTGGTGTTGTCACCTGGATATCACTGCTTTTGG